GTCGAAGGAGCACTACGAGGAATCGGTGAAGAAGCGTGCTTTTGAAGTTGATAATCAGGTAATGCTGCTGCAGCCGTTCAAAAGGAACAAGCTTGAGGTTGATTGGGAAGGGCCCGCCAAAGTATTATCGAAGCCTTGCGATACAAATTGTGAATTTAAATTAGGAAGGCGGCCGAACAAAGTTTATCACAGTAACTTGAAAGCAGTCGTAAATTTACTTTTAAGTGCTTCAGAGGAAGAGGAAGCAGAAATTTTTAGTTCTAGTGAGGTAATTGAAGGGGGATCGAAAGTAATCCGGGAGCAGATAAACCTAGAGCCTAGCTTAAGTGAAGGAGGACCTGAGAAAGAGGACCTGAGAAAGATTGTTTCCGAGTTTGGGTATGTGTTGTCGGACCGTCCCGGAAACACGAGGGTGATCGAACACGATATCGAGCTAAGCGGTGAGGAGTCAATCCGTAACAAGCCGTATCGTTGTTCCCCTGTGCAACGTCGAAAGTGTGAGCCGCTCTTGGTGCCGCATAGGTATCGTCGCCTAAAAGTGGCCGGTTACTGAGGTGGAGCATGTTGCTCCACAGCGCAACTTTGACGTTCGCTAAAGAAAAAAAAAGGAAAGGTAAACGTTAATGCAGGTGCATTGAGCAGTGCGTTCCAGTTAGTAACTTCTCAACCTTTCGGTTTCTGGCTGGCGATTCGGGGCAAAATTTTGACCTCATCACGACCTGGGCTGAGTGATCTCGTTTAGAGTGATCTCAAGGGGCCAATTTTGTGGTATTCTAATTCGTTACGTTGTTGTACGTGGGAAAAAAATTGAGTTGTCATTTTAAGGGTCTTTTGTCCCACATGTGCCTCTTGATGTAGAGGGAACAAAATTCCGATAAACACGTAGATAGGTATATGTTGTACTATACTTTGTCTGGTGTTCTGTCGGGTGACCGAGGGCGCTTGCTTGTGTCGTGTGTTGTCTGTTGTCGAACCGTTCTTAGCAAGTTGCAGAACCATCGAAGGTGCTGAAACCAAAGATGGTCAGAAGAGACGAGTGAAGCTGGTCGACAAGTTGTGGCGACAAGCCAGTGGAGCTGGGATCCGTCGTCAAAAATGGGACGTGTTCCCGGAACAGTTTGGAGCTGTATTCTTCCCATGGCCCTGGAGGCGAACCTGGAGGGACCTGGCGAACGAGCGCACCTGACATCCGAGCCCCGTGGAAGCAGCTCGTCTTTCCGGTGCATTGTCTGGCGGCGGGGGTGCTGTTATGCCAGCGAGTCCTCGTCAAACGTCCGTGCCTCTGAAAAAGGCAATCTGGGTCAAGGCCAGCCCGCAGTCCGCCTGGCGCGATCAACTCGACGGCGTGAACACGCGCGGCGCCCTCTGGCCCACGTGCATTGAGTCAGCTGCGCACGTGACAGCGAGCCGGTGTCCTCGTGTCTGGTGGTCTGACGCATGGCGCGGCAACCCCATTGGAGGAATCTGCCCTGACGACCAGCGGCGCTCCTGATTGGACATTTTGGTTGGACCCGGTGTAAATAAAAGAAGCCCTGCGGCGCGTCGCGATCGGCGGTCCTACGAGAGAGGAGTCCCCATGTCGGAGAGCCGACATGTGTGTGAGTCAGCGGTCTTAGGCGAAAAGTTGACCTATGTATTAGAGAGGAGAGCTCGGCTCTTCGAGTCTCTGTCGGCCCCAGTGCCGAAATTGTAACGCCTCTGTATATATGCTGTACATAAACCTTGTTTAACTCACCGTCGTCTCGTCCGCTCGTCTTATCAGCTCAGCGCAGAAGCAGTCGCGGGCTGAGAAACATACGCTACCAAACGGCTGGTGACCTTCCCGGTGGAGTTGAAAGCAGTGGCGCCTTCGGGGCCGTGTTGGCGTCGCCGTCTTTCGCAACAGTGGTGGCTTCGGCGGGATCGGTCCGTCTTTCGCAACAGTGGAGATCAGCGGTGAGATTCGGAGGTGCCTTCGCAACACAGTGTACCGATGACGGCCTCAATACGGACCACCGACTGTTGCCGGACGACGGTACAAATGCGTGCTGCTGGACGAGCGCTGCAGCAGTGAAAGGGTACCCATAAAAAGAAATGGATCCGTATCTTCATGTTAATGTGCAAATGTCGTCGAAAGACGATAGTCTTGCGTGTGGACAGAGTGAACAAACCATTCATTTGATGTTCTGCGCAAGTCTGGAGGCGCTGCGCTAGAGTGCCTCGAGCGTGCAGCGGAGGCAAACGAGCGCATGAAGTCACGTCACAACGCGAGACATGAGCACCATCCGGCAGTTTTTTTTTAAACGAACCGCGTGACTCTGAGACGGGTGTGCGCGCCCGTCTCAGAGGTGATAAAGTGTAGAACGCAAGGTGGCGGGTAGAGGCCACCACCGTCTCGTTTTAGCAAAGCATTGGAAACACTTGCCTGTTCGCGCAAGCGTTGCATGGTCAGCGCAGCGTGATAAGCGCTACGGTCCTTAAAATTACCTATGTATGCCTTTTCTAGTAAAAGACGCACATGCAGATCATATGCGTGTTTTTCTGGCGCCCCATACATGCGCAATTATTGCTTTTTAATTGACGATTGCACAAGTATGAACGCTAAACCTTGAGCAACATTGGTGGGCGCTGTGGATGGCGTCGGCCGTTTCAAGTACCCGGTGCCATTAAGTGTGGACAAATAGACAAATGTACAGACAGACAGACAGACAGACAGACAGACAGACAGACAGACAGACAGAAATATTTTTGCGTCGAAGGACCCGAAGAAAGACTATCGTCTTTAAAACTTCATGCTAGCTTCTTCACCGCTCGATAGCATTGCACAGGTGCTCATTCACGTGATTTTTAAAGACAATACATAGTTTCTAATGGGATACTTGAACGCAGAAATAAGCTGAGTCAACTCGCGTCTATGTGTTTAAAAAGCGGTTAACGATTTGTTCAGAACAAAATTATTTCCACAAACGTCAATAACACTCAACAGAACATTTCCTTCTTAGACATACTCTAACGATGATGACAAAACAGACGTCATATACATGAACATCGATTTAAGATGACGTTAAAAGAACATGTACATTCAATGGTTCACACAAACACAACCACAAAAAATACTTCAAGGTAAACAAGAGACACAAATAAAACATAGATATGTACATTTTGCATATTTACATGTTGGTATGCCATTTCTGCCGGCTCATCGACACATCAGCCTACCAATACCAGGCCGGCCGAAAGACAAGTTTCACTCGACCGTCACAGACCGACACAAAAGGGCAAGACCAGTGCCGAAGAAATTCCTCTTCACCGAGGAAGAAGAGCTCCTCCGACAAAACAGACAGCAGCTCCGACTACAATCGCTCTAGGATCGGGTAGATCCCATGGATTGCAACCACATCGCAGCGGTTGCGCCAGAGGCAGAAAGAGCCGGCAACAATGAGAAGACAATTGAAGCGGCCTCGCGAACAACGCCCAAAAGAATAGAAGCGATTTACTCTGAGGCAGCGAAATCCGGCATGTATACGGCTCTCAAAAGAAATTTAAAAAACGCGACCAATTACGCAATGCCTCAGAAAATGCTTATTTCTTTCCCGAAGGGAGCAGTTCGGACATGTTGCTAGCACTTGGTGCTCTACTATGGGATAGCTTAAAGCCGTCCCGTGGGCCAAATTGTAAATACTTGCTGAACGCCCAGCGATCTTGAACTAGGGGCTGCGTTTACGTGTAAATATTTTATTTGAGGCACAACATCCATACGTAAGTACTAGGTGATGCGTTCTTTTACTAGAAGGTACATACATAGATACGCAATTCTAATGACCTTAACGTTTGGTGGCTTTGGGACGTTAAACCCAACATATAAATCAAGCCCATGAAATGTCTAGTTGAAGAAAACACATTCTGGTACGGTAAACTTGAAGTGTTGTTGAGTGCTTCGCTTGCAGTGTATACGCGACATGCGTAGGATTGCTGTAAGCTCCCGACTAAAGGTGCCCTTTTAGCCCTCCCACGCAATATGAACATCCGTGTCTGAGACATGGTTCTACGCAAACGTCATGCTATACAGTACCGCATGCGACGAAAATATTGCATGTCGTGGAGGTATACGAAATGCCAGCAGCGATGATGCGGTGAAATGAAACCTGTTCAAACAAACCTCTGTCGCATTTATCGTGCCAGGAGGGAAATGGTACGAGAACAGCCTCACGGGTGGCCACGGATGAGACCAGGACTAAAGTAGTAGAGCCGGCAGAAGACTGCCATGTTCCGACGACAATCGCAACGAAGTACGCAGATACGCGGCCATTTTTTGTGTACATGCAGGGTGCCCCAGCGATGTTTAGCCATGGTTTAAAAATATGCCGACACGCGCAATTACGGCGCTACCAAACGCATTTTGCTGACTGTTGTCTGGAGTGAATTAGACTATTTTTCGTGTCACCATTGAATGATATCGTAGTTCGTACGCGGAACACAAGGGAGCACTAAAATCATCGTGCACACTGGCGCATGCGCGGGATTGTCACGTGCTATTTTTTACATTTCGCGAGCATTTGCAGTTAGTAGGAAAACACTAAAGATAAACAGATATAAAGCTTGAAACTGTCTAATCAGACGCTTTGCATACGGGTGAACAACTTTCTCATTTGTATGTACGGCCCATTTTCGTTGCTCAAAAAGTTAATTAATAAAAGTGACCTAATTAGGCAACTAATCAGAACACAAAGAATAGTCTGACTCACTCGAGAAAACAGTCAGCAACATACATTTGATCGCGTCGTCATTGCGTATGTCGGCATGTTTTTAAACTCTGGCTAAAGATAGCTGGGGCACCCTGTTAGCGTGGTTTCCTTTGAAACCGCATGCGTAGGCATGGGGGTGGTGGGGGGGGGCTGCGAAATTGGCACTTGCTCCCTCGAGGCACACCAGGACTCGTCCCCCACCGAAGCTATTCCAGAGATACCCTCATCTCCCCCCCAGCCACGATCTTACACCAGGTTTTGCTTTGATCTACGCAGGTCTTCCTGTACGACGTCCAGGCTCGGAACGTCTACACTCTGTCACGTCGCAAGCCGGCCTACGTCATCTGCAAACACGGCGACGTCACCGTAGGGCTGGTCATCCGGCTAGACAGCATCATGGCGACGGCCAAGTACCGCGTGCTCACCGACCACCGCCACCTGCTGTACAACGGGGACGCTGACATGAAGCTGTCGGGCACCGTGGTGTGGATCCAGATCTCGCAGCTAGCCAACGGCAACAACCGACTCGACGTGGTGCGGATTTGGAGGTTGGGCAAGGCACAGGTGTTACTCAAGGGACTGGGCAACCTCACGTCGGCCATATCCATGTTACTCACCAGCGTACTGAACCACGACCCCTGGAACATCATACCCGTGGCCGAGGCGCAGGCGATCACGTTCGGAAGGGAAATGTTGGCGAACATTACCGTGCCCATATTCTCCCTAGTGTGAGGGCGCTACAATCGTGTCGCCTCTCTAATGCAGACGTCATGCTCTGTGGGCATGTATGATGATGTCATGCGGACGTCATCGCCCCGGGGGCATGATTGACCGAAGCACTTCCGGTTAATGCGTCCAGTAATTTTACGCAAGCCTGTCCAGCTAGGGTTTCGCGGGCGTTGCCAAATATAACGTCGTGTTGTCTCTCATGATTCCATGCGCTCAACTGCTCAAAAGGATTCTGAATGGTAACACGTGCACTCAATTCACACGCAGCCACGCGAAACAGTCGACACTGTAGCTGTGGTTGAAATGATTATATCGGCCACGTGTTTCCACAGAAGTTTTGCGAAGTAAACGATATATTTCGTGAAATTTTCATCCGATTTTCACGAGAATCAGCAAACTCAGTGCGAAATTACTGGACCGCATATTCTGGAACGCTTCATTGTGAAAAATCATTGCGGCACTTGAGGGCGAACCAGTATTCCGGTATCACCATAACGATGATGTTCCGCCACGGCACAGAACAATTAGACCATGTGACATCTGAATGACGTCACGATGTTGGAGTGAAAGTGAATTTCAGGTACTGATGGCTCGTATGTGACGTCGTGGACGGGGTTCTTAATGCACTATAGTACTTCGACGTGGGATGACTTCAAGGCAGCGTAATCGGGTGGTGGTTACCCCGCCTCAATGTGATAACGACGGCGCTGAAACCACGAATAACGAAACAACCTGCGTGTGATTCATTTGGTAAGAGTAGTGCGGTAAGAGTAGAGTATTGCCCCATCATGTTGATGCTCTAACGTGGCTGGTTAATTGACGTCAGTGCGAGCTGTCTATAGAACCGCTTCTCTATTGTCGAAGTCATATCGGTGTAGGTTGGGTGTTTCTAGCAATATCCACATACTAACCAGGTCGCTATATAGATGCAGCGCGTCAGCTGCCAGTTCGATTGTGTGCCAAACCTGCGAAGCCCTTCACTATACAATGCAGTGATGAGATTTCCGCGAGCTTATAGATTTCTGTCTTTTTTTCCTTGACAATCGCATCTAGCATTGCGCTGACCAAATCGCGCGTCCTTAACCTAGATTATTAGGCTGTGGAAGAAGTGTGTGGATTGGCACGCCGTGGTATTGGGGAGTCATGGATAGTCCGTATATGCATACGTATTACAGTTTAGGAAAACCGGTAGATACGTCAGGCAGCGACAGACCTAATATGGTCATGTGGTGGGAACCGTTTCATTTTTGTTCCTCTTCTATAAGGAAGGTGACAATTCATTACCTTCCATTCACTGTTATACTGTCGCCGATGCCTCTGCGCCAATCAGATGACCTCGACAGCAGCGATGTTGCTCACGCCTCGTTGACTGTATTCAGGATGTACGTCTTTCTCGTAATGTGTAGTAAGCGAATTTGTGAACCGAATAGGAACAAAAATGAAGTGATGCGCTGACGAATTTTACAATTGAAATTTAGTAAGTCATTGAAACAACTCTGGTTCACAATACGCGCGAGCCTCCGCGTGAACCGTAAATCTGCAATAGGGTCAGAGTGGTGAGCGAGCGTAATTCGAAACTATAGCGCGTTGGGTTTTCCCCGACGGCCATAGTTGCCAACAATCGGCGTCTTACGTTCGCACAAGTGGCAAACTGTGAATGAGTGTTACATATATATCGAAGGCTGCCTTCATAATCATTCGCATCTTATACGAAGGGGGAAGGGGGGGGGGGGCGTAGGCACGGATGAGTAACCTGCGCCTTGCAGTGTAACACTCGCCAGCGTCGATTCCATGTATCCAAGAGGTAGCCAATCGGATCCGAGTCGCAGCTCGGTCGTGAGTGTGTGTACAGCGCTTTCTTTTTCCATAACACCGACACGCGTGAGCTGAAAGCTGTCTCAGTCTTACCTTGTAAACGGGTATTGTCGTCATTGCTATTGTGGTTGTGGAAATAAAAATCAGGATGTCTGCTATTTTTGAGCGCTGTCCAATATGCACCACCTTTGTCTCAGCTTTGATTGACCGGACACCTGTTTATGTTTTGGCACAAAGTGCTAATACGGCGGTATAGGTGACAGTGCTTAGAGAGCTCACCACGCTCACCACATGATTCACGCATGTTGACTTATACTAACGCAATACACATCGCTCAAGTTTAAGACTAGCTGTTGGTGACACTATCTCGTACAAGCAATTATTGATGTGTGTTTCGCAATGCTGTCAGTTGCTTCTTAATCGGGCGCGCGAGTTTATGTGTCTGCATGCTTAATCCGAACATCAGAATAAAGTGCACCCCAAGAAAAAAATACTTTAGCTCTTTTCTGTGAGCCTAGGTTTTCCAAGTATACGACAACTCTCTTTTAGGGGCGAACCTCTTTAAGGCGTGGGCTGTGCGTCCCCTGTATGTAGCTACCGCTCGTTTAGTTCTTGCAGTGTTCACTAGATGGCGGTACTTGTAGCTGATGATGAAAAGATGCGAGATGTTATAAACTAGAGTTGATGATGAATGATGCGAGATGTTATAAAATATGAAAGATGTCACATATGGCGCGTGTCATTGGTGGAAGGCAATCGTTCGATTTAGTGCGGTGACGTACGCTAGGGGGAGCGTTGTAATAAAATCGAGTGGGCAAAATGTACGGAGGATTCAGGGTTTACCAGGTTTGCCTCCGGAGCTTCGCCCACTCATCCTCATTCACTTCGCGGATATGGCAGCACTTTTTTTTTAATGACACACGCGAACATTCAAAAAGTAATGGTCCCTTCAAACACGATCATATACACGGCAGGTCAGGACTCTCCGAGAAGAGTAACTGGCACTTTTTTTTTTCATGGAATGCGTGAATTAATGAAGCACAAGTATCTGTGGCAGTGAGCAACTTGAAACGGGTTGTAAATAGTCCTCTCAAACAATGACCCCTGCTAGCGATGTTGACGCAGCTTATACTCTGTTTGCACTTCTGTGACAATTACACCTGATCTGACTTCGAATCATCTTTCCGGAGGCACTGCGAAGTCGAAGTCAAGCGAACTGGTCTTCAACTGCATGCTGGACGTAACGTTGAAAATGAAAAAAAAAAGATGAATAAAATGTTAACAGCTTAATTGTGCTAACACGTCTAATAAATAATGCGGAATGGAAGTCCCACTTCTCTTATTTAAGAACTGTTTCCTCTTCTTTGGAAATTCCTGCAGGAACCCGGCAACAGTTTTTAAGCATGGTCGAAAAATGGTGCCGATCGGTAGACAAGGCTGCCGATAAGCCGCGAGCCAAACATTATAGCGCATGCAAAGCAGCAAGGAATTCACAATTAATTATCCGTCATTTAGAAATCACTCAAAGTCTTCCTAACAAATGATGCCACATAGTGAAACTGCTGCGTCATTTACTCGAAGTCCAAGGCCACGAATGATCTGTGGACTGTAAGCATGGCCTCCGAGGTGCACGCCCGCCATCTCGGAGGTTGTGCTGTGAGCTGCATAATAACTGCGGCCGCCACGTGCCCACTTGCTTGTTTACGTCATATTGGAAGGTACCCATAGCCTTAGCATACCTGGCTTTAGAATGTTTTATTGAAGCAACGTGGTCAGAATAAGCAAAAAAGACATTTAAATCAATGACGTCACAGTAACGTTCACGCCCTTACGTTTCGACATGAAAATCAAAATGAAATAGACCGCCATTTCCTGCCTTCATAATGAACCTACGAAGGCGAAATCAATAACACATAGTTACAAAGGGCAACTTATCCGTCTGAGCTGATTTAATAATTCACTTCAGTTCCCCTTTAGGTTAATAGCTCAACAAACAATAAAGAAGAAATAAAAACATACAGAGGCGTAACTCTGCGAGAAATGCGTAAAAACATGCCAGACATGTCGACGGAAAGCTGAAACGCCAATTTTTTTAACATACCACGATAAGAATTCACGGCTCGAAAACAGAAAAAGAGAATTCAAATGGCATAAGCAATGATTTTTTTTTAGTACAAACCACAAATACGTAGTTCCCTTTACTTCTTCTTCTTTGCGGGAGTCGTGAAACGTATTCAAAAGTTTCAAACTTCGTGTGTATCCTGTCGCGTAGCAGAGACGACAGAGAAAAATGGCAGAGACTGCTGCGCCGCGTGGTGCAGGATTGGCTGAGTGGTGCAGGATTGGCTCCGGTGAGAACAGTGGGCCCCGTAACACTTTTCGATAGTTGTGGCCGTCGACCGTACGATAACGGTTCACCGCCGCCTCTCACATTAAGCGCCTTAGACGCTGCCGTTCTCGTCGAGGAATTCTAGGCTTTCTTCACTGCGAGGCGCGCAACAGCACAGTGTCGAAGGAAAACAACGAAGATGCGAAGCCACGGTTTTTGGAGAAGCGGTCGCGAACTTCGAACAAGGAGGTTTGAAAAAAAAAATTGCTGGAGTGGAAGCTCCCGCAATGCTTTTCCAGCAGTAGTGAAGGCAGCTTTTGCCCTCCAAAGATATCAGAAATATGCTATTTTTTGGTGGTGCCCCCTTAGACATCAAGTGGTTTTGATTTGTTAGTCTGAAGGCTACGTCAATTCGAATTTAAAAAATAGTTGTTTTCGAAGAAATTAACCACACAGACTAGTATAGGTGACTTAATCTCCACTGAAATTTGCCTTATTCGAAGCTTACTAAAGAAAACTAGTAACACAAGGGCGCACTTTGAGCGCTATCTAACCCGAAAAGTTTGTCACGTTAAACTCGCTGAGAGTGCTGGGAAAACGCTTCTTCCCAATCGCCGAACGCCAACAGCTCACCATGCCCCTAGTAAGATGGCTGCCGCCATCTTACGGTTGGCACGGCTTCACTCGTGGGCAAGAATTTCCCCTCCGGCAATATTTTTTAATCCTCATTGGCGTCGAAAACGACCGCTTTCGGCCTCAGGTGTGATAAACTAAACTCGCAACCGTGAACAACAACGCTCACTGTATAGGCTTCTAACACATTGAATCATCTTTGAAGTGCCACAGCTCGGATATCAACAACACGGTCACACGAGTGGTGATGCAGACGACACGAGACGCTGGCGTGCCCAACGAATCCCACAACACCCCTGAAAAAGCACGTGACTTCCGCCACACTTTTCACTCTGCGGCTCGCATTATTGCGAGGACCTCTCCTTAGCATTCCATGGTTTGAATCGTTCGAATAGAATATGGCTTCGCCGAGTTGACCGAGTCGACACGCGACTTTCAGTGTGCCTCCCCGTCGGCCTCCCGTCAGCCGCTGCTGGTGGTCCTGTCTACAGGCCCTTTGATATTGGATGTTTGATGACCCTCGCAGAATTGGCTATATTTGTTATGATGAACTGTTTTGCGAAGTAATGGCCTTCATCGGCGAGTCACAGGTCACGCAAAATTCAAACGCAGCTGGCTGCATCGGTTTCTCCGGCAGACGCGTTTTCACGGTTTATCATAGTTCTGATGACAGGAAGGCGCACTGCACGCAACGTAGCCACGCCGAATGTGCAACAGGTAACCTTGTTATGTCGCTCAGCATACCGTCACCACCTCACGAGGTGATGGGCAGATCGCTTCAAAATGCTGACGTGCCACCGTAATGCTATAGGCGATCAGCACTTTATAAACGATGTCCAATTAGAAGTACCGAATGCGCTAGCTCACCTATTTACAAAACAGTGCCGAACGGGTTTATCTGCCTTATTGAATAATACGGCCTGTGACAGCACGGCAGCATTTACTCAGCAACGGATGAGAACGGCGCCGTACGTGTTCGCACATAGCGAAAAAAGCCTACAGTGCAGGAACTTTGGTCTTCGGAGATTGCAGGCTTCGTAAAAACACTTCGCGGCCACACTGGTATTTCATGTGCGTCCGGAAATTCACACGTACTGTGCAAAACACATTTATTTCACCGTCGACCCTGCTTTCGCGACAAGCGAAATTGAGGTACTGGGCAGCAAAAACTTTTACCTTCGAGGACACCACGTTTTGACATCGAAATATAGAAAATTCAGTACTTCAAACCGCAATAGTCCCCATATCATAGTGAGAAACATTATGGCGCATATGATGGTGGTGGTGGTAGTGGTTTGAAGATGAGAAAAGGCACCTAATTTCTGCAACCCGGTCGGGACCACGGCGCAGTGCCTTATGTTTGTTGTTGAGTGATTCTAGAAAGAGGAAGAAGGCACCTAATTTCTGTCAGCCCCTTGGGCAACACGGCGCAGTTCCTTGCCTTATGATGGCGCACATCGCAGTTAACAAGGAGGAACAGCTACCATCCTTGCCACTGTTACTTTTCGCAGCGCCCCATGGCGCCCTCTGGATTTAAAGTGCTTGCGATATGTGTTTAATTAACAAATATACGTTAACTGACTCGTCGAACACTCACAGTTCAGTCCATTTATCGATGTAACACACTTTAAAGTAATAATCTGTTCATTTGAGTGATCTTAAAGGTTACTTTATGAAGATGACGTCACTTTCGTGCGGCGCAGGAGCCACTTTTTTGTGGGAGCGTCACGTGCACGGGCAGCACGGCGAGGCGCAAGACGCGCTGCCATTTAAAATACTGGTCATTCATTGAATACATAGGCTCATTTCGTCATCCGCGGTTTCATTTTTAACATCTTCCCAAAGGAACCCTGATGGAAGCAGCAGCGTTGGGCGCGGCTATTCGGCAGAGGGCGCGCGGCGCTTTCAAGACGTTGCGGACGACGTCGAGGATTCGCCGGCGTTGGCC